TAGAAAATCCATGGATGTTTTGGCTGAGTAAAGAGTGTAGGACTGAGGTCCTGATTTGTAACACTTGCAATGTAACAATTTGTAACAATAGCAATGTCTATTTCACTCTGCGGAAAGAAAAACCTCTATAAATATGCTGACAGATCTTACACATACGGGATCTGATCCTGCTCCATTTAAAGAATCCCATTATCTTAAATAAGAGTCAGATCAGACCCCCTGTGAGTTGAAATTCTGGCATGACAGGCTGATAGCTTTCTTTGAATCTCTCTGTGTTTATGAGCTGGAATCATATGTGTATATGTATAGCTGATTTCTTGAGAGCAGGAGTGAGCCCATAATATAATTTTAATGAGGGTTTATTGTTCCCCAGAGTTCTGAATGGTACTGAACAAACTTACAGCATTGCTTACTTCTTGCCTAGAAGGTTTGCTTTTCTTTGTAAGACTGAAAGCACCCATTAGTCTTGCAATGAAGTGTAAGATTAAAATGGTTGTTGAAAACGTGCTAGATGAAGGTGGCAGAAAGTCTTAAATCTTCCAGGAGAAAGAACTAACAAAGTTGTTGGGGAAAAAATGAAGCAGCTTTCGCAATATGATCACAGTTTCATTCTAAACATGTTTTTGAGAAGAAAGTGAGGGTCACTGAGGTAGAGAAAGGGTTGGGAATCATGGAATCAATTCAAAGAACATTTGAAGTCCCGGTTGCCTAAAAAGCAGCAGAGAGAGAAAGAGAAAAATGGCAAGTAAATGAGACATGGATTGAACCCCAAAATGACATTTTCCCCCACAGCATGAAATAGTAAGAGAGTGAAAGCAAGAACTGAGCTCTCAGATATATAATTTTCTGTAAAACAAAACTAACCAAAACAGGTGTCTTGTACAAAGAGGGGAGTATCCTGTTCTTTGAGAAGACATTCTTGTTGATTGGAAACCATTTGGTCAAAAGGCAAACAAATCTACAACCTACCATTTGCAGTATATTTACAACTTGCAATTAAAGACATCTATCAATATTTTGTACAAAGAATGAATCACAATAACAATTATATACAACTTCCATAACATAGCATAAAAGAAAATAATACAGAATGTTAAAGCAAAATAGATAGTATAAAGCTGCATCCCTAGAATCAGTGTAAACACACTTGGAGGTAATAAATATGGTTTTACAGCTAAGGTGGTGTCATCTTCTCTGATACTTTGGGTACCTGTTATTGGTTGACAGAAAGCAAGGATTTCCTAGGAATTTTCTTAATTAGAATGAACATTTATTTTCATATAACAAAAAACAGACAAAAACAAATACCCTTTAAACACATGAGTTATCATATTCTCCAAGCATCAGGTGTATGGAAATAATTGTATCTCCTAAAATTCAGTAAAGATGCAGGCAATTTTGTAATAACTTAAAATTAGAATAAATTCTTTGAACAACAATGTTTGCATCAATATTGAGGTCTATCTCCTACAAAACAAAAACAACACACCCCTGGAATCAACAAAATGCATCCACAGATCCTGACTGTAACTCTTGCTTTCCCTATCCCAGCCACTCCCTATGTCTGATAACTGGTAGTTCAGGTCTAACACAGGCTCATTAGGTTTACGCATGAGCATAGCTATTCATGTGTATTCATGTGCATTTGCAGAATCCAGGTCTAGATTGCAAATTCTTTGGGACAGTGACACCTCTCTCAGTTACACTGCTGTATATTCAATGGATCAGCAAATCCGCTGAAGACAATGGAGTTACTCTGGATTTACTCCTGTGACACAGAGTAGAATTTGACCTAAAACTTCTTCAGTGTTTTGTAGACCATAGCACAGCGGTTCTCAAACTGTGGGTCAGGTCTCCATTTTAATGGGGTAGCTAGGGCCAGTGGTAGACTTGCTGGGGCCCGGGGCCAGAGCTGAAGCTGAAGCCTAAGCCCCACCGCCTGGGACTGAAGCCTTGTGCTTGGACTTTGGCCCCCCACACCTTGGGCGGTAGGGCTTGGGCTCCCCCCCCCCCCGCCACAGTCCGGGTAGTGGGGCTCAGGCAGGCTCAGCCTTCAGCCCCCCTTCTGGGCTTGTGTAGTAATTTTTGTTGTCAGAAGGGAGTTGTGGTGCAACGAAGTTTGAGAACCCCTGAGTCTTAGCACTGTCTTGTGGACTATGGAACAATGCATAACAATAAAAACAATAAACCATGTAGGCATTTCAAAAGTGTGCTGTATCCAGGAATAATTGGAGAGAAAGTCTTACTGTGTATTCCTTACATGGCTTCTGTGCTCCTTCTCATGCAACTCCAAAACCTACAGAACACGCAGGTGAGAGAGGAGTACTCCCAAGCTGCTACTACTCAGTTCTCTGTCTCACAATGGTTTGTGCAGGTTACCCAGTAGAACCAATCAATATAGCACTTGCATTTGGTTGGCTGTGAATCATGTGCTTGGAGAGTGGCCTCTTACTCTAGCACAGCGTTTCTCAAACTGGGATCTGCAAGGGTACTCCAGGGGGTCCGCGGACCCCACTGATCAACTCCTCCCCCTCCCTCCCAGTGCTTTCTGCATGCCAGGGAACAGCTGTTCAGCAGTCTGCAGGAGGGAGGGGGAGGGAAGAGGTGGGAAAGAGGAGGGGCAGAGGTGTAGCAGGCTCAGGAAGAGGTGGGGTGGGGGCCAGGCCTTGGCGGAAGGGGTGGAGTGGGGGCGGGGCCTGGGGCTGAGCGAGAGGCTTGGGGGTCCACAGCAAAAATTTTAAATCAAAAGGGGGGGTCCTCAGGTTACTAACGTTTGAGCACCGCTGCTCTAGCAGAAAGACTCTCCTGTAGACATTCTCATACTAGTTAAACAACAGTATGCTGCTTATCACATATGCATAGAATACGCAAACCCCATTTTTCTCTTTAATATGTATCTATAAGTGTGCACAAGGGAGTAACTCCCCTCTTTACATAACCAAAGTGAATTGGGGGTTTTGCCACTAAGTAGCAGCCTATTCTATTCAGGTTCTTGTACTGCACCATGATATCTGAGTGACAGTGCTTCAAAGCTATACCTCCAACCTCAGCCTGGATTTTTTACTCTTTGTTGAAACTTACCATATTATATCTTCAGACCCAATTCAATAAATGCGTCCCTACAAAAGAAACCTGTAAGAGGTTGTGGAAGCCACATAAAACAAAACATTGATTTTCTGAGCTATACAGAGGTTTAAATCAAGCCCTTAGTTTATCACAAAATTTGAAGAAAAATCAATGTCTCTGTCTTTACCTTAATAGAGTGGAAAAAATCAGTAGTGACTAATATAAGATATTCTACTTTTGTGCTTTCATAAATAACTGTACATTGGTAACAAACTTATTAATAACATAGTCCAATTCTCTTTCATATTTGTTGTAATGCTTATGTACGGACTTTAAAATAATGAAATAGTTCCATACCTGTGAATAATGAAGTTGGTCCTGGCACAACTGATAATACTAGAGCAGGACCAAGACCTTCATCCTATAGTCTTATTCAAGAAATAATCCCATTGAAATCACTAGTATTTTGGGTGCATAAGAAATGCATGATCAGGTCCAGAGAGAACTTTGTGTGAGTAGGAAGTGCAAAAAAGACTCAGTCCTCCTCCCACTGAAATCAAAGGCAAAACTTACATTGATGTTAATAATGCGGGCTCTGTCCTAAACAAAGTAAATGAGAATCTACATCTAAAGTACACTATGGCATGGGAGACATTCATTATGCACCTGATCCTGCACTTCTGACCTGTCAAGCAAAACTCTCATGGATGTCAGTAGATGATAGATCTGTATAAGTAGAAAGAATTAGACTCTGCGGTCCCAATCCAGCATGAGTAGTCCCACTGACTTCAGTGGAGCTACTCACATGCTTAAAATTAAACATGTGTTTAAAAGCTGTGCTGGATCAGGGCTTAGATGAACATTACTCATCTAAATGCAGGACAGAACAAATGGATATGATTGTTCTGAGAGTTATCTGAGTTCAGAACATGCACATCAAATCACAAGTATAGGGTAAAGAAAGAAGAAAGAAAGAAATAGAGGAAATCTGAGTGTTTCTACAGGTCCAGAAAATATTTTGTTTTCAGTCATCTAACAATATCTTTATATTCCAAAAATCAACAATGATGAAGTTTAAACTTGTCTACCATACATGCCGAGTACAATTTCCCCATAATATTGTGAACAAATTTTTGCTATACAGAGTGCAACCTAAATGTGCAGTTAAACAACAGACTAGAAAACCACTGTGAATTAATTAGCAATGCAAATTAAGAACACCAAATGCAGCCTTTAAAAATTGTATCTACATAGTATACTGGGGGAATTGTTGCAATGTGAGCACTACATTAAGTATTTAAATTGCTTGAAATACACAATTATCTGATAGTAATGTAGCACTAAAATTAGCCTGTTAAACAGTGATTAAACATTGTTCTTCCTATTAAAGGACCTTTTGCTGCATTTCTGAGCAGACTGTAGCATCTGACTGTAAAGTCGCATGATGCTTTGTTGCAGGGAAGAAAAGTCCATACTGATCTTGTGTGTATTTTTACAGCACACCATAAAAAGAGAGTGGAATCATTGATAGGTGTGAAAGCCAGGTAAGCAAATGACCCAATGACTTTCTTCCACCAGTTATTACTGCTTACTCTGAAGGAGGGGGGTGCTCATGTTTGTATTAGCATTACTTGTTTTTCCTTGTTAACACATGGAGAAAAATGTTGCTCCTTAGCTGTTATTCGCACCCCCTGTGGAACACCTGACTAGTAAGACAGCTGTATCGATCACAATCGATCATTCATTCAAAGCAAGTCAGATCCATCTTTTACCATCCAAATCGCGATGGGGGTGGCGGGAGAATATGCTCAGCTCCCATTACATTCTCCCTACATCAAAGCCACCCACAGAAGTCAGCATCTCGATGAGCTCAAAAGGTTAAAGGTAATTCCTCGTTCGCACCGCTCGGGCGCCACCTAGCCGGAATTAGGGCCCTGCACATTCACACAGGGCAGCGGCCCCACACGCTCCGGCTGCCCACGGGCTGGGGCTGCGTTGCCCTTGCTGAGCGGTAGGAGGAGAGGGGTTCGCTTGACTCTGTTGCCGCTGTTCGCATCCCCTGGCTCCAACGGGCTCCTCCGGCTGCAGCGGGGGAGCAGAGGCAGCAGGTCCCCGCGGCGCCTGGGCGTGTGCAGCCAGCGGCAGGTTCGGCGGCCGGGGCCATGCGTGCCGGACAGACAAAAGCCTGGGGGAGCGAGGCGTGAGGAAAGGCGCCCAGAGGCGGAGAGCGAGGCGCGTACGCACAGATCCATCTTGAAGCGGTTTTGCCTCCCGCTGCCGCCGCCGCCGCGCCAGGCTCGCCGAGATCACCGGGCGCTAGGGGATGCCAGCTCGCCTCCTCTTCCAATGTTTCACTGGGGCAAGTGGAAGAAAAGGATGGGAGCGACCACTTCTTCCTCCAAGAGACCCGTGTTCGATGAGAAGGAGGATGGTGAGTACCGTGCGGTCCCGCACTCGCTCCGGGCTGCCCCCGCCATTCCTTCCCCGGGCGGTCAGAACCTAGCGCGGTGCCCACCCAGAGCCCCTCGGCTCGGCCCGCACCCAGCCGCCCAGGGGGGATTGCAAGTCACAGCCGGGGGTTGAGGAAGGCAACTTTTATTTCACAGGGATCGTTAACACAGCAGATCGGCTCTGCTTTGGGAGCGAAGAGAGCTAGGACAGATCTTTTCTGACGGGAAATTGCAGGCGCCTGTCTGGGGGAGAGACAGGCTCCAGGAACTTGGAGAAAGAGTTGTGAGAGGTGTGTGTGTTTGTGTGTGTGTACGAAAGGATTTTAAAGTCTATTCGGGGGGTGTTTGTGTAAAGCAAACTTCTTTGACAGTAAGTGCACAATGGACAACAGGAAAGCCAAACACACTAAAATAAGGTCTACCGTTGAAAGTGTCACAACCCCACCACTTTACTTCTCTGGGCTGAGAGATGATCAAAAGATGTGTGCAGCTGATACGGCAGAATCCCTAGTGTGCACACACGTGGTGGGTCATCTGTTGAATTTCCAGTTGCCTGACTGGTGCTGGAAAGAGCCGTCCTGCTTTAGCGGTAATTGGATTTGTCATTTATAATGTGTAAACCTATAATTTATTCAACATCTTGCAGTAGACCCATGAATATGGGAAGAAAGTTAACATGTGTGGATCATAGACTGCTCCCCAACCCCTTTCATACCAGAATTCTCACCTGGTCCTGGATCCTTCTGTCTATAGATTGTGAAAGTGCTGTGCTGTGCTGTGCTTTTTCCTCTTGCATCGTCAGCACGCAAATTGGTTAGTCTCTAAGGTGCCACAAGTACTCCTTTTCTTTTTGAGAATGTTTACCTGTCTGAGGAGAGGGGAGGTGGTGTACAGTGATTTTCAGATTTAAATGGAAAAAATCAAAAGTTAAAAGGAAGTGTGCATGTAACAGAAAACACACTAAAGAGAGGTTAAAAACCCTGCATGCTTCAATCTGAAAGGCAACAAATATAGTTCTAAGACAGTATTTTGATGCAGTTTTAGTGTCATGAACTTGAATGTTAGAATGTTAGGAAATATTTCTTGGCGTTATTGGCCATATGAGAGAATAGCTTTCACAAAGCCATCAACATGAATGTTTCTTTTGTTAAACCAATGCCTCCAGTACATACATATGCACTATAGGTGGCAGAATGGGGTGTGCTTTGTTCACCTCCCCTGAGTAGTTTTCTTATCTAGATGCCACCCCCAGCTATCTTACAGTGGTTTACTGTGGGGGTAGTCTCCAACTGAAAAGCTGTTTGGGCAGTATTGAATCATGCTCAAATAAATTTGTTAGTCTCTAAGGTGCTACAAGTTCTCCTTTTTTTTTTTTTTTTTTTTGCGGATACAGACTAACAGGGCTGCTACTCTGAAACCTGCTAGTGTAATGTGGTCTTCCTTCACCCACATCACAAGAGGAGCTCTCGTAGAGGGAGATTCACAGCCAGGAAGGTCTTGCAGAGAGATTGCTGGAACTCTGGTTGGGTAGAATGAGGGGGCTAGCACTACCTTGTCATTTCAATCTAGGACCAAAGTGTGAACAAGTTTGACTTCCAATTTACAGGTTTCAGAGTAGCAGCCGTGTTAGTCTGTATTTGCAAAAAGAAAAGGAGGACTTGTGGCACCTTAGAGACTAACAAATTTATTTGAGCATAAGCTTTCGTGAGCTACAGCTCACTTCATCGGATGCATTCAGTGGAAAATACAGTGGGGAGATTTATAAACATAGAGAACATGAAACAATGGGTGTTACCATACACACTGTAACCAGAGTGATCACTTAAGGTAAGCTATTACCAGCAGGAGAGTGTGTGTGTAGGGGGAACCTTTTGTAGTGATAATCAAGGTGGGCCATTTCCAGCAGTTGACAAGAACGTCTGAGGAACAGTGGGGGTTGGATGGGGGGAATAAACATGGGGAAATAGTTTTACTTTGTATAATGACCCATCCACTCCCAGTCTCTATTCAAGCCTAAATTAATTGTATCCAGTTTGCAAATTAATTCCAATTCAGCAGTCTCTCATTGGAGTCTGTTTCTGAAGTTTTTTTTGTTGAAGAATTGCCACTTTTAGGTCTGTAATCGAGTGACCAGAGAGATTGAAGTGTTCTCCAACTGGTTTTTGAATGTTATAATTCTTGACGTCTGATTTGTGTCCATTTAGCTGGGAGTGCTGGTAGCGTAGGGCCTGAGGAGGGAGTCTACATAGCCAGACAATCCTGCTGTCAGGGTGCTAATACCTGAGGTGATGGGGCATCCAGGATTTCCAGGTTTATGGATCTTGGGTAGCAGATAGAATACCCCAGGTCGGGGTTCCAGGGGGGTGTCTGTGCTTATTTGTTCTTGTGCTTTTTCAGGGAGTTGCTTGAGCAAATGCTGTAGTTTCTTTTGGTAACCCTCAGTGGGATCAGAGGGTAATGGCTTGTAGAAGGTGGTGTTGGAGAGCTGCCGAGCAGCCTCTTGTTCATATTCCAACCTATTCATGATGACAACAGCACCTCCTTTGTCAGCCTTTTTGATTATGATGTCAGAGTTGTTTCTGAGGCTGTGGATGGCATTGTGTTCTGTACGGCTGAGGTTATGGGGCAAGTGATGCTGCTTTTCCACAATTTCAGCCCGTGCACGTCAGCGGAAGCACTCTATGTAGAAGTCCAGTCTGTTGTTTCGACCTTCAGGAGGAGTCCACCCAGAATCCTTCTTTTTGTAGTCTTGGTAAGAAGCTCTCTGTGGGTTAGTATGTTGTTCAGAGGTGTGTTGGAAATATTCTTTTAGTCGGAGGTGTTGAAAATAGGATTCTAGGTCACCACAGAACTGTATCGTGTTCGTGGGAGTGGAGGGACAGAAGGAGAGGACCCGAGATAGGACAGATTCTTCTACTGGACTAACAGTATAGTTGGATAGATTAACAATATTGCTGGGTGGGTTAAGGGAACCACTGTTGTGGCTCCTTGTGGCATGTAGTAGTTTAGTGTCCTTTTTCTTTTGTAGAGAAGCAAAGTGTGTGTTATAAATGGCTTGTCTAGTTTTTGTAAAGTCCAGCCACGAGGAAGTTTGTTTGGAAGGTTGGTTTTTTATGAGAGTATCCAGTTTTGAGAGCTCTTTCTTAATCTTTCCTTGTTTGCTGTACAGGATGTTGATCAGGTGGTCCCACAGTTTCTTTGAGAGCGTGTGGCACAAGCTGTCAGCATAGTCTGTGTGGTATGTAGATTGTAATGGATTTTTTACCTTCAGTTCTTTTGGTATGATGTCCATCTGTTTGCATTTGGAAAGGAAGATGATGTCTGTCTGTATCTGTATGAGTTTTTTCATGAAGTTGATAAGATTTCCACTCCATACGGCTAAATTCAGTGCCTTGCATAATGACAGGTTTCAGAGTAGCAGCCATGTTAGTCTGCATTCGCAAAAAGAAAAGGAGTACTTGTGGCACCTTAGAGACTAACAAATTTATTTGAGCTTAAGCTTTCATGAGCTACAGCTCACTTCATCGGATGCATTCAGTGGAAAATACAGTGGGGAGATTTATATACATAGAGAACATGAAACAATGGGTGTTACCATACACACTGTAATCAGAGTGATCACTTAAAGTGAGCTATTACCAGCAGGAGAGCAGGGAGGGGGGAAACCTTTTGTAGTAATAATCAAGGTGGGCCATTTCCAACAGTTGACAAGAACGTCTGAGGAACAGTGGGGGGTGGGGGGGGAGATAAACATGGGGAAATAGTTTTACTTTGTGTAATGACCCATCGACTCCCAGTCTCTATTCAAGCCTAAATTAATTGTATCCAGTTTGCAAATTAATTCCAATTCAGCAGTCTCTCGTTGGAGTCTGTTTTTGAAGGTTGGACAATGGTGAGAATAAATTAGAGTGCAATATCTTAAAATTACATTCACTTCCATTTAGGTGATCATGCATTACTTCTTTACCTTGATTATCACTACAAAAGGTTCACCCCCATCCTCCGCTCTCCTGCTGGTAATAGCGCACCTTAAGTGATCACTCTGGTTACAGTGTATATGGTAACACCCATTGTTTCATGTTCTCTGTGTATATAAATCTCCCCACTGTATTCTCCACTGAATGCATCCAATGAAGTGAGCTGTAGCTCACGAAAGCTTATGCTCAAATAAATTTGTTAGTCTCTAAGGTGCCACAAGTACTCCTCTCCCCCCCCCCCCTCAATTTACAGGCTCTAGGAGTACTGTGTAATTTCAGTCTTGTTATCTGAGCTTTCACAGATAAAAGGATGGATTAAGTCCTCAAAGCTGACACAACTGATAAATACATATTCTGTTAAGTAGCTGGGCAATGTGATTTTCACTATTCCTATTTGTATGCAGTGTGATAAGCAAGAATGAGCATACATAGAACCCAATCCTGCATGGTCATTCAAAGATGGAAATCCTATTTCAATTGGAGTGACTGACCCAGAGGGTTTGCAGGCCCTCTGCAAAGATAGGGTAGTTGTTAATCTCAAGAAATAATGCCTCATTTAAAAGAATAGAGAAGGAAAACAGAAGTTAGTGACGAGGCTTCTTTGCAATAACTAAAAATATGAAGCTTCAGCTTCTCGTGACACATGACATTCTGCCACGACCATGAGTAAGAGCAAAGCTCTGAAGATTGGACAATGGTGAGAATAAATTAGAGTACAATATCTTAAAATTACATTCACTTCCATTTAGGTGATCATACATTTCTTCTTAACCTTGAGGGACAATAAGTTTGAATGTTACGTCATCTTGAAGTACTGTATGCTTGTCTTATTCACTAATATCTGGTTAATATTGTTCCAGATCTTAATACTGTTGATCTCAAAGAACTTTTAGTGGGCAGATTCTTCATTGATTTAAACTTCTTTGGAGCTCCAAAGAAGTTTAATAGGTTTAAGGCAGCACAGAGGTCCTGATTCAGAAAGGTCCTTAAGTGCATGACTAACT